TTTTTTGGTGAAACTTCTAGTGCCTCTTCTCTTTGTTATCAAACACATTTTCTTTCCTCTTATTATGTCATACCTATTTGCTGATACTAGAATATGAAAGTGAGGAATAATATAATGGAATACAAATTACATCAAATTATATATATATATTTGGTTTTGTTTCATTTACTTTCCTAGAGGTATGCCTTTTATTTTCCCTGTCGACAAAACTATTTCAACTGTCTGTTCCAATTCGCCATTGCTCTGAAGATGGTATCTCTCTGCCCATTGAATGCTATGGGCTGTAAAATGTGGTCCTGACTTGAAGATAGGCTATCTAGCTGTCCAAATTTTTCTAGAATCTTCTTTCCAGTTATGAGTATTTTCATCCACAGAATAGTAAACTAAACCTAGTCCTAGTCCCCTTTACTGCTATCCGTCCAACTTGCCAACTACATGCAGAGGCCTTCCCAAGGGGCCTGCCTTGCGGCCACCTGCAGCCTCTGTCTCTCGTTGGCAAACAAAGCAGTTCTTCTTGGCAACTTGCACCACTAAGGATGTGAGGGGGACATGTCTAGACTCAGCCCATCTCTGCAATGCAGCAAACCCCAGGGTCCACACATTCCTGGAGGAGGCCACCTCAAGTGAGCACACTAGAATATTCACTCGCCAGTTCCAGTCACTCTGGGCCTGGAAGAGGTTTCTTCTGATGGCTTCAACAGGTTCTACGTTAATGTGCTCCTCAGACTTCCCTACTAATGTCCATAGGGCAGTGTCCAATAGGCTTCCTGCTAATAGGCCAATTCACTGGCCACTACCCAGTCCAGCTCCTGGAAAACCCAAAAGAGCAGACAGCTTGCAGCGCATCCACTAAGTTGATCTGTTTATACCTTCTTCATCAGAAAGGCAGAAAGGCGGCTTCCAAACAGGAGCTGTCTGCTCATCGTGGAGCTGCTGCCCACAAGCCAAGCAACTCTTTGGCCAATTTTACCAGTGGTTCATAGGGTCCTGCAGCATAGCCTGGCCCCCAGCAGCTCCTCAGGAGGCTGCACAATGGGCTTAGGAAAAGAGGCTCCTTTCTAGCGCTGCATATCCATTTTACAATGGAACAGTTTGGGCTCTGTCCTCCCTGGTAGAGCATTTCTCCAACATCATCCAAAGTGGGTGTTTCATGGTTCAAAGTGTTTTTTTTTTTTAGAGATTTATTTATTTAAGCATACAGAACTAGGGTACAGGCCAGAGGTGCAGGGGCAGTGAGAGGATTCAGCAGAGACAGTGGGGAGCAGAACAGGCTGACTGACAAAGTACACTGCTGAGGGAAGCAGCAGGCTG